TTTGTTATGGATATTGTCGTAAAATGAGAATAATCTTTTTGCATATAATTCAGTCAGAAAACAGAGGCCTTTATAGGCTAGATACAAACCTAGGTCAACTAGATAAAAAGGAAACAAATAAAATATTCCCAAAGAATCAGAAATCATACTACTATTCCCAAAAAATCAGAAATTAGAATCCCTAGGATTTACTTTACAACTAAATAAGAAACTAAATAATATACATTATTTTCCACACTCCCCCTCAAGCTGGTGAATAGGCATTTTCCATTCCCAACTTGGAAATGAGTGTCTGAAACATTGTACTGTTTAGTCCCCTTGTAAACACGTCAGCTAATTGACCTGCAGTGGACACATAGGGTGTGCAAATCAAGCCATTGTCCAACTTTTCTTTGATGAAGTGCTTGTCTATCTCGATGTGGGATTGTGTACAATATTGATAGAAGACTTGTTGTCACAGTAAAAGCCTCATGGGTCCATCCCACTTGATCTTTAAGTCCTCTAAGATGATCTTCAACCACAGTAGCTCACATAATCCTTGTGCAATTGCTCTAAATTCTTCTTCGACACTTGACCTAGCAACCACTGATCCCGCATAGTCCGCATCCGTTAATGCCTCAAGTACTAGTCCTGAGTTTCTTATGTACATAATTCATTTTCTTGGAATTCCTTTGAGATACTTTAACACTCGGTTGGCTACCTAGAGATGAACTTCCTTCTGGCTATGCATGAACTGGCTAATCAGACTCACTGCATACGCTATATTCGGTCGAGTGAGACAGAAAATGAGTTTTCCTACTATGCGTTGGTACATTTCCCTATCTGCTGCAACATCCTCCTCTGCCTTTCCAAGTCTAAGATTCAGATCTATTGGAGTGCTTGCTAGTTTGCACGATGTCTTGCCTGTTTCTTTTGAGGAGATTCGTAACATATTTCTGTGGGGAGATAAAAATGCCCAGCCTTGAGTGAGCTACCCCAATCCCAAGAAAATATTTTAATCTCCCTAATGCCTCGATCTCAAACTCCTTACCCAAACACTGACTTAGAAATTGTCTCTCCTTATCATAATTCCCCATCACTATTATGTCATCGACATATATACTTATGATCCCCTTAGCTTTGACTATATCCTATGGCCATCATAACTCTCGCAAATCTTCCAAACCATCCCCGTGGTGATCGCTTAAGTTCATACAAGGCTTTCTTAAACTTGCACACGGTATGAGCAGTTACTTTATTCCCACAACCTGGAAGGACCTCTATATAAATTTCTTCATCTAGTTCTCCGCTAAAAATGCATTCTTGACATCAAACTGCTGCAATTCCCAACCATAATTAGCTGCTAATGGCAACAAAATTCTAACAGTATTCATCCTTGCAACCGGAGCAAAAGTAATCAAATTCCATATGTTTGAGTATAACCTTTGACCATCAAACTTGCCTTGTATCTTTATATCAATCCATCTGCTCTATACTTCACCATATAAACCCATTTACACCACACCAGTTTCTTTCCTATTGGCAACTTCACCAATTCCCAAGTTTTTTTTTGTCCAGCGCCTCCATCTGCACATTCATAGCTTGTTTCCATTTCTCATTGGACAAATCCTCGCATAAGGCGTTAGGAATGGCAATGGTGTTTAAGCTAACAAGGAAAGCTCTATTAGACAGTGAAAAATACTTAAAAGACAATAAGGGTCTGTTTGAGCCGAATTAAAATCTGATTTTAATTTAAATCAAAGTCAAACAATCAATATTAATCACGTCTTTCATTGGTCTCACATCTTTTCAACCACACATTTCAAAAATTTATATCACAATCCACTAAAAATCTAATTTTAATCCCCACCAAACACTCTCTAAATGTGCAAGAGGATATGAAGGCCGGTTTGTAGTGGCACTCTCTAGTTCCTTTCCTAAGAGCAATAGGAAGGTCCTGGTCATTATTGTTCACATGAGATTTAGTTTCAACTTGCAATGAAGGATATGAAATTGTTATCTCATTCTCAACATCTGGGTTGGAGTCTAGAACTAGCACAGATTTAGGGACAACCGTCTTCTTCCTCGAAAACACCTTGCCTTTTCCAAATCTTACATTTTCAAGAGTAGAGTTTGTCTTTTCTTGGGGATTTTCGGGCACAAGTTCAGACATTGGAGACACTTGGGAATTTTCGGGCATGGGTTTAGGCACAGGAGGAACAGGATTCAGCATAGTGGAATGAGGAACTAATTTGGACCCGAAAAGTCGGAAAAAAGAGGCATTTATAGGCTAGATACAAACCTAGGTCAACTAACTAAAAAGGAAACAAATAAAATATTCCCAAAGAATCAGGAATCATACTCTTTAACTATTCATACAAAATCAGGAATTAGATTCCCTAGGATTTACTATACAACTAAATAATATACATTGTTTCCACATATATGTCCGAAGAAAGGGCTGTAACCTGGTTCCAACATATGTCGATGATGTGGTAGAGCATCCCTAGGTGTCAGATACACATTGAAGACCAACCAACTGGCTCTGTTAGCATGTCAGTGCTTCTTAGGTTCTACGTAACATGCAAAAGCACTCCAAAAGTTCTAATATTCAACTCAACCCTTTTTTTGTTTCACCAACTAAAACTATGTTAACAATGCATTGCACATACCACAAACCTAGAGATCTCATCTTTAATATGTTTTGTAATCTTTAGCTGATCAACGGCCAGTGCGAACAAATAAAGACATTGATTTTTGTCTCTGGGATGGAGAAATCCCTACTACTACCGCCACTACATCTCACATTCATGACTCGACCACTGCATTATGCACATCCTTAATAACATTGATATGTTTAACTAAAACTGATTCTCTCTCTCTTATCCATGGTTTGAAAAAACGTAAACGGGTACTGAGACTTTTTTTGTCACGAGGCGAAGCGTAAGCCTCAAAACGTTTTGAGGCATAAGCCTCACCACAAATAAAAAAACTTAAGTTGAAAAATTAGAAAATAACATAAAAATATATAACTAATGGTTCCAACATTAATTATGATATTTTTTTAAACTGAAATGATCTTATCTAGATTAAAAGAACCAAAAGTATAACTAAGAAATAGTAAACATCGTGTAATTCGTTCATCCAATAAGTGTAAAATTCGAAGAAAAAGATAAACTCGACCAATAAAGATGTAATACTATAAATATATTTTAACCACAATGGATAAACTTCTTTTAAACAGAAAAAAAAGCAATGTGTTTTTAAAAAAAACAGCAATTAATTACAGCCCAACCTAGCCCAAAACTTAAAACACAAACAGCCCAACTCTGATCTCCTCTACAATTACAGTCACCGACAACTCTGATCTCTTCTCTCTTGTATCAGAGCAAGGAGCGACAACTCTGAAATTTCACTCTTGGGTCTCAGTTTCTCCGGTTGGCGTCGCTAGGTTCTGCTACAGTCGCCGTCGTGCTCTGTTCGGCCATCTCTATCTTTGTTGCACCGACGATTTGCTAGTGCTTCTGCTCCTGTTCACTGTTGCCTTCATTTCCGGCCATTCCCGCTGAAGCGTACAAGAGCGTGCACCAAATTCAATTAAGGCGCACGCCTCTCAAGATTAGCCTCAGATTTCACGTCTCGAGGCAACAGCCATACGCCTAAAACTGAGGCGCGCCTCTTGACCTTTTTTCATACCATGCTCTTATCACCCACCATGGAACTTAAAACACGATAAGAGTTTCGTAAGGACATAAATAAAAAGAATATTTTTTGACATCCCAAAGATTGGTAAAAAGTCAAGAAAACTAGAATGAATTTGGAAGTTTTAAAATGTCATCATAGCTTGTTTTGAATATATTACATGTGAAGTAGCTATCCATGCTGGAAAATTCAAGCATCCCATGTAGGAACAAAGATAAACTATGGATGAGATTTTTAGCTCTAATTTTTTTTATAGGTACAAGAAGATTAAATTGCAAATGATAGAATTATGTACAAGTAGAATTAGTAATGAAAAATTTTATGCAACATAGCATGGCTCCTAAAAACAAAACTAAATTACATTAGAAGCCAATAATTAGATTCAAATTCATCCTCACTCTTCTTTTATCTTTACCAAATAAAAGATGTGTAATTTGAAAGTGGTAAATATTTTTTCTTAGTGGGTCTACAAAGAGATCATGAGTCAAAGGATACAGTGGTAAAGATCAATAAAATATTAGCCTCAAATCATTGACGACATCAAAACCATGAGAATAAAAAGAGATTACAATCATATGTCCACCCAAAACTCCTCATATCCATAATATATATTGACTTGCCCATCAAGGTGTAAGATATTCAAGACAAATAATATTTCATGCCCATTCATCTTTATCCATTTCCAGATACAAGTCTGCTGAAAAACAGAATAGATATCAATGACAAAACCACGTATCTTTCCAAAGCTAATTAGATGACCGTGTATTGAAAAGTATAATATGTATGGGTTATTTTTTATAATATTAATATATACAGAAAAGCACCTCTTAAAAATATATACATGATCAGTAAGAAGCAGCTTGAAAACTCTAGATGCTCCATAAGTATGCTAATGTATTATTTCACACCTGCAGCATGGTTCTACTTCTATTCCTACATACCTTTTTTTTTGGAAGTTTGTGAAACTTTTTCCTGACTTCACGATCATATTCTCTAAACTTTTTCCTGACTTCACGATAATATTCTCTTCCAGGCTGACTAGTGTTATAAACCAATTTCTTCAGCATTATTTTAGATCATGTGAGGGTATAAAACAAAAATGACATTAAATAACGTGACCTTTCAATATTCATGTAGATTTTCTGGTTCTGGTTGCAGGAAATAAGATGTTTGCATTTTGAATTTCTCTTTAACTGGTGCATAAATATTTCACAACTGGCAAGTCACTTCTCTAGGTCTCTTCATTTCAAATCATTTTTAATTCAACAATAAGAGCATAAGAAAGAAGAATTCGTTGTAAAACGCTAAAGCAAACAAACCTTTTTCTTCTTTACAGGTTTAAGGATTTTGATAATGCATTTCTCATTGTTGGCGTGCATTCCCTCGAACACCTCGCTATATTTCCCCCTTCCTACCTTCCTCACCACCTCGTAATCATCTTGCTCCCTGTTAGACCCAAAAATTAAATTAAATAATAAATTCCCTCGTTCACAGAATATAAAATTAATTTAACTAGCTACACACCCCCATTGAACTGTAAGGGACTCGTAGTCCCAATACTCATTAGGGCGGATAACATTGACGTCGGTATAGATCCGAGCCTTGGATGGGGCGCCAGGACGGCGGATAGATTTTCCTATCTTCTGCGCCAGTGTTTCAGGTACATAAACTGCGGGCCCGCGGCCGAGAGAAGATAGTTGCGATGGCGTCTGAGGCGGCGGAAAGGCTGGCTGTTTTAGCTTCTATTGGTTGTGGTGTTGGTGTGTGATGGAAAGCGAGGCACTGGAAGCTGCGTTGCGGATGACAGTAAAGGGTAGAAACGGTGTCGTTGAGACGGGTACAAAGGGTCGGGGGCGAAAGACGGTGAATTGAAAAGGCCTTGCGGCCATCAAATGGAAGGGAAGGCGTTATTAATAGTTTACTTTTTGAGTGTGGAAGGGGTCACATACCCAAATGGACACTTTTGCAAACATACAACTTCGTGGGCTTATTTATGGATAAGGTTCAGATTCTGGACTTGGCCCCATTATTGAGAAAAAACTCATGGGCTTCACCAATGTGGAGAGTTCAAGAATGTTGCAATCGGGCATATTAACGTTTATAGTTTTGATGATTCCTCTGTAGTAGATAACTTTCTTGATTCATGAAAATGGATATTTGATATTTTTGAGATATTTATTACGTTAATTTTATCATGTTTGTTGATCAAAAGTAGATAATACGAGAATATTCCTTCATTTTTACGAGGAATCTTAGTAATGTCTATTTTACACTTTACTAGATTAGTTTTTGATTAGATTAGCGGTAGTTTGAAATTGCATAAGGGACAAGGTTTGGAAGTCAACTTGGCTTCTTAGGCACATGAGGAACTGTCAACGAAAACATAGTTGATTTTTCTCCTTCTTCTTTCCAAGCAGACGATTGGCTACATCGAGTGACTTATATGCATTCTCCTTCTCCACCTCCTATTTTTAAGCCAAGTCGAGGGAATGAAGCTACAGTTTCTCCATCATATAAGAAAGGAATGCACTAGAAGGTGGTGGATGGTGATCTTAATGGAATGGGTTCGGCGTTCATAATTGTTTGTACATGACAAATAGTTATTGATCATCGTTGTCCATCTCAATTCAAGAAGTTTTTGTTTGTTTGATACAACTTTATTAAAATTTATCAACTATTCAATTTATTAAATTTTAATTTTAACAAAATATTTAATGGACCCACAATTCTGTTTGTTAGCTCACACAAAGATAAGGTTAGATGAAATGGTTGTTGTTTGGATATTGGTCAATCACTTTGTGGAAATTATGACAAGTGATTTGAGTATTGAAAAACATGAAATGTCATAATGCTTCTCAAAATATTATTACTTCTGTATCCAGCTATAAGTTTTTAATTATTTCTGCCAACATCCTTGAGTATTTCTGTAGTGTTGCTTTTTATGTATCAACTCCTTACTCGATGATAGTCATGACGTAGCACTGAGATTTTTGGTGATCGGCAACTTTCCATCATAGGTACACTGTGGGATGTTAGGGTTCCTCACAAGCCGAGGTTCAATAGGAACCTTGTTTGTTTTTGGATGAATATCCTGCACACATATAATGAATTCCTTTTATCAAAATTACGAAGTACATGTGTTATGCTACAAAGTTGATTGAATGAGTTACAAGAGTAAAAAATCCTATTCAGTGCATGAGCTTTATCAGAGGAGTTGCAAAATTTATAGCATTGTCTTTTCTCATTTTGTATATATGCACTCTGTGTACAGCAAAGACAATGTATCAAAGATATTATTACTTTAAATCCTTGCTCTTTGATATGTTTTGAAATAAATAATGTTTTGTTGATCAAAGTTGGATGCAACTGTTAACTTTGTTAGATAAGAATCAATCTTCTTAGCTACCAGTACCTGGTCAAAGATAGAAGTCGGAATTGCAAGAGTGGCAACAGCATTGGGAGAATCAACTATTCCTGAAATCCTTCCTTCACAGGGACAGCATGAGAGTAGAAGATAGACCTGGTAGACACCATTATCACTTAGGTTGTTTGCAAAAAATTTTAAGTCATAGAAGGGTGATTTTGATGGATAGATTTCATACCTGTTCTTTCGTGTATCCAAATCTGGACAGATAGTCGATAGCATTAAGCACTGCACGCTTGTAAGCAATGGTAGCATCGAGGAAGTGTTGTCGCCCGCTCTCATCGACGCTAATGCCCTCAAATACTAACCATTCTGAGAATCTTGGCTCAACAGGGCCTATCTCAAAAATGGGGTTGACATGTAGAGGAGTTGGCCCCATTGGGGTGAGGTATTCTTTCATCCCATCCCTAATGATTTCACACCTGATAGGATTTAAAAATAATTCTGGATAAGTTCTGAACAGATAGATGACTATGGCAAACTGCTGATCAGACATTTAAATCTTTATATGCAATTACCACCCGTGTCATAGCACTAAGAAACCATCGGATATATTAGTATTGGAAAAAAAAATACAATAATCATTTTCTAATTCTTGGAGAAGAAGGAAATTATAAAAGAAGTTTGGCTTGCGGAGATATAAGTTTCAAAATATTACTTGAGTTCTAGAAAACCGCTCATCTCGATTGCACCACAAAATGCAACTTCACCATCTCCTTGTGAAAAATGCATATCCCCGGTACTAAGGTTTGCTCCTTCCACAAAAACTGGAAGGTATACTTTGGAACCTCTACTGAGATTTTTGATGTCACAGTTTCCTCCATTCTCTCTTCCAGGAATTGTCCTTGCAGCCTCCTCTGCAACTCTTTCCCATTCAGGCATTCCTTTCTCAATCTACATGCATCATGAACTATTAGATTATGCCTTCGCTACTAGTGTGTTAAGAGCATGTTTGGCTGTGATTGAATGCAAGTTAAATTCTTAAGTTACTTAATTTACCAAACACATTTTCCAAAGTTAATTATTTTTTATTTTTTTTTGGATGTGACATGGATTTTGTTCTTACTGAATGGTAAGACTCTGATGATGTGTTTGGCATTGAAGCATTGCTTGTTTTTCTAGTTGTCATACCTTTCCAAGGAGGCATCCCTTTGTTAATGGCAGGTTTGCTAATGGCCGTGAATGCAGCACTTCACACAATTTTAGAGATTGAAGACCAGTTTCTTCAAGTTCCCTTTCCCTCTTATTCCATATATTGAGCAGTTCCATTGAAGGTGCAGTTCCAATTATTCCAGGGTGCGTTAGACCAGGAAATCTTACGCCTGTGACACTTACAGAGATAAAACTTCATGTTATACAATCGTGTTAAATAATTAGGCATTATTCATATTAGAAGTTGGTCTGGAATTACATGGACGATATCTGTTAATTTTACTATTTATTGTGAAGATTTACCAGGTATATGTGGCGAGTAAGCATATATTCCCTCAAAATACCACATGGCTTTGGTTGCACGAGGGAAATGATCAGTGAGGAATCCACCTCCATTCTCCCTGTCAAATATTGCAGTAAATCCCCATTCGTCCCCAGGTAGAGGACCCAAATTACAAATCTCAACAGCAAGAAGATCACCAGGCTTTGCTGGTTTCCCATCTACGTCGACAACTCTAATAGGCCCACTAAGGTAATGCACCTGAGGCAGTATTTAGATAGGTCACATACTAGTTTAATTGCAGATAGCAGTAATTTATGCAATCGAGAATGTGTTGAATCAGTTACTACAGGTAAAGTATGTCAGATAGTATATTCACACACTGTTGACTTTTTATCAAGAAGAATATGAGGTATATCTTGATCATGATAATTTGTTTTATCTGCTTCTATTTTTTATTTGAAGCTGTGAAACATTTTTTGGTATAATGATAATTAGCAAGCTTAGTCTTCTAAAATCCAAATGCAAGGTATGGGTGTGCAGCAATCAAATCATAGCACCCAATTCTATTTATTTGCTACATCTACTTATTCTGATCAATCGATCGAGTTTAGGATAAAATTCAATTAATCAACGAACTGAATAGCTTCAAAACAATTAAGAAAATTAAATTATCTCGGAGTTTAAAAATTCTAAAAGGTACAGGAAAATGTGAGAAACTCACAGAAGAAAAATCTGCGTGTTTGACATCTTCAGCAGTGTACTCTTTTGTTATGCCACCTCCAGTAGCATCCACCATCTCCACCCTAAACACCTCTCCAGTTCTGACCTCTGCTACGGGAGGTATATCGGGATGCCATCTGTTGTGCAATGGGAGTTTCTGTTCCCATGGCTTCTTTTTTAGGTCAATCGGCACCACCAATCTATAACCACGACCGTCCTCCATTGTTTGCAAACTTCAGTTTAGCTCCACCAAACGAATGGAACAACCACTTATTGAATTCATGGTTTCATAAAATATGCAGCTGTCATTTTCAGATTGGCACCTCAAGGCATATTTTTATAACAAATCCCTCTCACATTTGTTGGTTGACTTGTATTTTCATTGCAAGCAGTACATGGTTTGTATCTTGTAAGCATTGTAAGTATCAAAACAGGAGCTTTCGCTATGTAGATAACCATGAAACAAAACAGCATGCAATAGGCTTATGAATAACTAACATTAATTGAGCTTGATTATAGTTAAAATTTGCTGATGGAACAAAGTTAACAGAAAATTCGAATTCTTAAATCGGACTTTTAATCTAACTCTATGTAAATGTGTGCATCTCTATATTTTACAAGATCTATATTATGAACATGAGAGAGAACCCAACTATTTTATTATATTATTCCCTCCGTCTCATTTATATAGGCTCACTTTCCTTATTTTCTTATCTCAATTATATAGTCTTTTTTTTTTTTAATTAAGAATGTTTTGTTTTGTTCGTTTACTAATATACTCTTATTTCTTTACTATTTCCAATAATAATTTACTACTAGTTATTGATAATTAAATAAGAGTAAATTAGGAATGTTTTTTTGACAAAAATTGTTTTTCCAATAACATTAAATGAGGTTTCTTAATCCTTGTGAAAAACAAAATAACCCTATATAAACGGGACGGAGGGAGTATTACGTAATTGTGAAACAAAATATTATGCATCGAAAAAAATAGTTATTCTACTGGAACTTACATATATTGACAGAGATAATTTAATCTTCATACAAAGACACCACCCATAAAATTATGCCAAACGCCATATAGAAATGGGTGCGAGAGTGAAGTGTAAAACATATTGAAAATGACATAATTAAAGAAATAAAGTTGGGTTTTGTCTATTATCATAATTGAGAGCATTTCTTAATCTTGTCGAATATAACGTATTCTTTATAAAGGATCAACAAATTTTTTACACTCAAATATATGGGTATTTGCATAATCAAAAGATATTTTGAACGCGTAGAATCTTTTTGTTTTATGCTTACTAGTGATAGTTTGAATAGATTGCAATGACCTCGATTCTATATTTAGACTTTATCTTAAATGACATTTCTCCATAGTTAATATAATTAAATATGCTACACCTAATTAGAAATCCAACGTCGTGTCATGTGAAATCAAATATCGTAATTCGCACTCAAATTTTTGTTGCTTTGACTATTGAAAAACATGAAATATCATAATGCTTCTCAAAATAATATTACTTCTGTCTCCTATTATAAGTTTTTGATAATTTCTTCCAACATCCTTCAATGTTGAATTGGTGTTGCTTTTCATGTATCAGCTGCTTACTCGATGATAGTCGTGATATAGCACTGAGATGTTTGGTGGTCGACAACTTTCCATCATAGGTACACTGGGGGATATTAGGGTTCTTCAAAAGTCAAGGTCCAGTAGGCACCTTGTTTGGTTTTTGGACGAATGTCCTGCACACATATCATTAATTCCTTTTAGCAAAATTGTGAAGGTTTGCCTAGAATAGACATATAAGTAATAGGTATTACCCAATAAAGTTGATTGCATGAGTTACAAGACTACAAATCGCATCCATTACACCAGCTTTATCAGAGGAGTTTTGGTTAATAGGAGTTAAGAAATTTATAAAATGTCTTTTTACATTTTGCATATGTACACTCTTCGTACAATAAATTCAATATATCAAAGAGATTATTATTTTAAATCCTTGCTCTTTATGATAAGTGTGTTTTAAGATAAATATTTGTATTGGTCAAAGTTGGATGCGGGTGTGTTTGAACGACATTATTTTGGAAGAATGTATTTTCGAATAGTAGATTGATGGAAAATGTGTGGTTGAAAAAGAAGGAAAAGTTACTGATGTGATGGAAAATATTATTTTATTGAAGAATGTGTGGTTGAAAATGAGTAGAAGAATGAGAATGAAAAAAATAATGTGTACCAAACAGGGCCTAAATAAGATTTTTGGTCATATTTTAATATGAGATAAATATTTGTATTGGTCAAAGTTGGATGCGGGTGTGTTTGAACGACATTATTTTGGAAGAATGTATTTTGGAATAGTAGATTGATGGAGAATGTGTGGTTGAAAAAGAAGGAAAAGTTACTGATGTGATGGAAAATATTATTTTATTGAATAATGTATGGTTGAAAATGAGTAGAAGAATGAGAATGAAAATTTTAACGTGCCTCAAACGTGGGCTTAATTTCACTATATAAGAATCTGCCTAGCTAACAGCACCTGATCAAAGATGGAAGATGGGATTGCAAGAGTGGCAACAGCATTGGGAGAATCAACTATTCTTGAAATCCTTCCTTCACAGGGGCAGCATGAGAGTAGAAGACAGACTTGATAGCCACCATTAGCACTAAGATTGTTTACAAAATTTTGTAAGTCATAGAAGGGTGATTTTGATGGATAGATTTCACCCCTGTTCTTTCGTGTACCAAATCTGGACAGGTAGTCGATAGCATTAAGCATTGCACACTCGTAAGCAACAATAGCATCAAGGAAGTGTTGTCGCCCACTCTCATCGACTCTAATGCCCTCGAATACTAACCATTCTGAAAATCTTAGCTCAACAGGGCCTATCTCAAAAATGGGATTGACATGTAGAGGAGTTGGCCCCATTGAGGTAAGGTATTCTTTCATCACATTCCTAATGATTTCACATACGTTAGAATTTGTGCGTGACCCGAATTCCTTATTTGAAGTATTGAAAAATTTCAATTGAAGTGCACGTCATAAAAAAATTCAAATTTTGAATATTATTGGAGTCATGTGTCAAGTTGAAATTCTATTTTGGATACTCATTTGAAGTTAAAAATTAGTATTGAACTTGAAAAAGAGTTCGAAATGGAGAAAAACAATTTAGAGCACTTTAGGCGCCAGCCTTGTAGCGCCCCAAGCGCTAGCTCCAGCGCCCAGGGTGTAGCGCCTAGGAGCTAGCCCAAGCGTCCAGGCGCTCGAGGTGTAGCGCCCAAGCGCTACCGCGTTGTTTTCATCTTTCCAGTTTTTTCTCTCCTATTTTGTTTTGGACTCGATTTTTTGGCATTCTATTTCATCAACAACTCTACCAAGAGGGTTTGAACATCCCCTACATGTTCCATATAAATACTAAGCTCTTCTATATAATTTTATAAGTGTGAGAAAATAGATTACCAAAATTATATGATCCATTGTAATTTTCTCTCTTCTTCATTATTTTTGAGTCAATAAAATTTGTTAATTCATCTACCATATTCTTGTCTTTATTATTCTTTTGTTTGATCATATATTTCATTATTATTTGTTATATAATTTCAACATCTCAATCCGTTGGTTTTTTTCATAACAACACCTGATAGGAGTTGAAAATAGAGCAAGATAAGTTTTGAACCGATAGAGGAATAAAGCAAATTTTGAAAAGATAAAGACACTTTTTCTTAACGTGCCTTCAATTTAGGCATTTTTAATAATTTCCTCTTTAAGTTGAAACGTCGTAGGACTCTATAACATGACAAGCGATGTGAACTAGATGTAAACACCCAATCATAGGTTTGCCATTAAAACAATGCTTGCTTTTGCAGGGGTCCTACCTTGCCAAGGAAGCATCCCTTTGTTGATGGTAAATTTGCTAGTGGCCTTGAATGCAGCTTGACATCTTCAGCAGTGTACTCTTTTGTTATGCCACCTCCAGTAGCATCCACCATCTCCACCCTAAATACCTCTCCAGTTCTGACCTCTGCTACGGGAGGTATATCGGGATGCCATCTGTTGTGCAATGGGAGTTTTTGTTCCCATGGCTTCTTTTTTAGGTCAATCGGCACCACCAATCTATAACCACGACCGTCATCCATTGTTTGCGAACTTCAGTTTAGCTCCACCAAAAGAATGGATCAACCACTTATTGAATTCATGGTTTCATAAAAATATGCAGCTGTCATTTTCGGATTGGCACCTCAAGGCCATATTTTTATAACAAATGCCTCTCAAATTTGTTGGTTGTCTTGTATTTTCCTTGCAAGCAGAACATGGTTTGTATCTTTTAAGCATTGTAAGTATCAAAACAGGAGCTTTCGCTATGTAGATAACCATGAAACAAAACAGCATGCAATAGGCTTATGAATAACTAACATTAATTGAGCTTGATTATAGTTAAAATTTGCTGATGGAACAAAGTTAACAGAAAATTCGAATTCTTAAATCGGACTTTTAATCTAACTCTATGTAAATGTGTGCATCTCTATATTTTACAAGATCTATATTATGAACATGAGAGAGAACACAACTATTTTATTATACTACTCCCTCCGTCCCATTTATATAGGCTCACTTTCCTTATTTTCTTGTCTCAATTATATAGTCTTGTTTCTTTATTAAAAATGTTTTGTTTTGTTAGTTTACTAATATACCCTTATTTCTTTACTATTTCAAATAATAATTTACTACTAGTTATTGATAATTAAATAAGGGTAAACTAGGAATGTTTTTGGCAAAAATTATTTTTCCAATAACATTAAATAAGGTTTCTTAATCCTTGTGAAAAACAAAATAAGCCTATATAAACGGGACGGAGGGAGTATTACGTAATTGTGAAACAAAATATAATGCATCGACAAAAATAATTATTCTTACTGGAACTTACATATATTGACAGAAATAATTTAATCTTCATACAAAGACACCACCTATAAAATTATGCCAAAAGCCATATAGAAATGGGTGCGAGAGTGAAGTGTAAAACATATTGAAAATGGCATAATTAAAGAAATAAAGTTGGCTTTTGTCTATTATCATAATTGAGAGCATTTCTCAATCTTGTCGAATATGTAGTATTTTTTATGATGGATCAACAATTTTTTTACGCTCAAACATATAGGTATTCGCATAATCAAAAGATATTTTGAACGCGTAGAATCTTTTTGTTTTATGCTTACTAATGATAGTTTGAATAGATTGCAATGATCTCGATTCTATATTTAGACTTTATCTTAAATGACATTTCTCCATAGTTAATATAATTAAATATGTTACACCTAATTAGAAATCCCACGTCGTGTCATGTGAAATCAAATATCGTAATTCGCACTCAAATTTTAGTTGCTTTGACTATTGAAAAACATGAAATATCATAATGCTTCTCAAAATAATATTACTTCTGTCTCCTATTATAAGTTTTTGATAATTTCTTCCAAAATCCTTCAATGTTGAATTGGTTTGCTTTTCATGTATCAGCTGCTTACTCGATGATAGTCATGATATAGCACTGAGATGTTTGGTGGTCGACAACTTTCCATCGTAGGTACACTGGGGGATATTAGGGTTCTTCAAAAGTCAAGGTCCAGTAGGCACCTTGTTTGGTTTTTGGACGAATGTCCTGCACACATATCATTAATTCCTTTTAACAGATTGCATGACTGCATGAGTTACAAGACTACAAAATCGCATCCATTACACCAGCTTTATCAGAGGAGTTTTGGTCAATAGGAGTTAAGAAATTTATAAAATGTCTTTTTACATTTTGCATATGTACACTCTTCGTACAATAAATTCAATATATCAAAGAGATTATTATTTTAAATCCTTGCTCTTTTATGTTAAGTATGTTTTAAGATAAATATTTGTATTGGTCAAAGTTGGATGCGGGTGTGTTTGAACGACATTATTTTGGAAGAATGTATTTTGGAATAGTAGATTGATGGAGAATGTACGGTTGAAAAAGAAGGAAAAGTTATTGATGTGATGAAAAATATTATTTTATTGAATAATGTGTAGTTGAAAATGAGTAGAAGAATGAGAATGAAAAAAATAATATGAATCAAACTGGGGCATAATAAGGAACAATATCACTTTTGTCACTTTTGAAATGTAACTGATCCTTCAAAGTCTCCAATTTCTTAAAGGACATAGGAAAAATTATTGATGTGATGGAAAATATTATGTTATTGAAGAATGTGTGGTTGAAAATGAGTAGAAAAATGAGAATAAAAATTTTAATGTGCCTCAAACGTGGGCTTAATTTCACTATATATGAATCTGCCTAGCTAACAGTACCTGGTCAAAGATGGAAGATGAAATTGCAAGAGTGGCAACAACATTGGGAGAATCAACTATTCTTGAAATCTTTCCTTCACAGGGGCAGCATGAGAGTAGAAGGCAGACTTGATAGCCACCATTAGCACTTAGATTGTTTACAAAATTTTGTAAGTCATAGAAGGGTGATTTTGATGGATAGATTTCACCCCTGTTCTTTCGTGTACCAAATCTGGACAGGTAGTCGATAACATTAAGCATTGCACGCTCGTAAGCAACAATAGCATCAAGGAAGTGTTGTCGCCCACTCTCATCGACTCTAATGCCCTCGAATACTAACCATTCTGAAAACCTTAGCTCAATAGGGCCTATCTCAAAAATGGGATTGACATGTAGAGGAGTTGGCCCCATTCGGGTAAGGTATTCTTTCATCACATTCCTAATGATTTCACACATGTTAGAATTTGTGTGTGACCCGAATTCCTTATTTGAAGTATTGAAAAATTTTAATTGAAGTGGACGTCATGAAGAATTCAAATTTGGAATATTATTGGAGTCATTTGTCAAGTTGAAGTTCTATTTTGGATACTCATTTGGAGTTGAAAATTAGTATTTATCTTGAAAAAGAGTTCGAAATGGAGAAAAACAATTTAAAACACTTTAGGCGCCAGCCTTGTAGCGCCCCAAGCGCTAGCTCCAACGCCCAGGGTGCAGCGCCTAGGAGCTAGCCCCAGCGTCTAGGCGCTCAAGGTGTAGTGCCCAAGCGCTACCGCGTTGTTTTCGTCTTTCCAGTTTTTTCTCTCCTATTTTGTTTTGGACTCGATTTTTTGGCATTTTACTTCATCAACAACTCTACCAAGATGGTTTGAACGTCCCCTACATATTTCATATAAATACTAAGTTCTTCTATATAATTTTATAAGTGTGAGAAAATAGATTACCAAAATTATATGATCTATTGTAATTTTCTCTCTTCTTCATCATTTTTGAGTCAATAAAATTTTTTAATTCATCTATCATATTCTTGTCTTTATTATTCTTTTGTTTGATCATATATTTCATTATTATTTGTTATATAATTTCAACATTTCAATCCGTTGGTTTTTTTCATAACAACACCTGATAGGAGTTGAAAATAGAGCTAGATAAGTTTTGAACCGATAGAGGAATAAAGCAAATTTTGAAAAGATAAGACATTTTTTCTTAACGTGCCTTCAATTTAGGCATTTTTAATAAATTCCTCTTTAAGATGAAATGTCGTAGGACTCTATAATATGACAAGCGATGTGAACTAGATGTAAACACCCAACCATAGGTTTTCCATTAAAACAATGCTTGCTTTTGCAGGTGTCCTACCTTGCCAAGGAAGCATCCCTTTGTTGATGGTAAGTTTGCTAGTGGCCTTGAATGCAGCTGTTAGGGAAAATAGCATAATTGTAAACACAAAGCTCAAAGCTAACAGAGTTCAGGCTCTAAAATCAGCATACAAATCATTTGCAGAATGTACAATAATGTAATCCAATCTTTGCATAAACATAGCATAAAGAAATCAACAGAAAACAGAAACCATAGAAACTGAAAATCGAAAGCTAGGAAACTTAGAACTTTACTTCCCTTCCATGGTTCTTCTTCCCCTTGCTGCTGGCCGAAAGACGGGCTTAGGAACAACCTTCCACGCCTTGCAAATCACCGTCCAGAGAGAGCACAAGAACTAGTTCAGAACCCCTCCTTACTTAGCTTGGGTCATAGATAAGAAGATCTACCAAGACGGCCAAGATTCAAGCCCTAATCACCACTCAGCCCTTGAGAAACACCAACCCCACTCAGCTCTATTTCACGCCAGAGAGTTACACATGAGTCACTCAACAAGGGGCTCAATGTACAGTGAATACCAAGGGAAGGAGAAGAAGCTACCAACTTCAACGAAGAAGCAGAGACGAGGCAGAGAGAAAGTGGACAGAGAGACGAAAGGGGAAGTATCTCACAGAAGATAACCTACGTGAATATAAAGGCTCAAAGTCAAGCCAAGAAAATATTTAAGCCAAGATTTAATCCCAGTCGTTGATCTACATCAATGGTCACAATTAAATCAAACTAACACATTCCGGATCAAACCAAAGCTACCAATAGATGGATAACATCTAAGCTGCTAATGGTAAATAATAAGTAACAATCCAAATATCACAAATAGCACCAGCCTAATAAGTGCTAGAGGACCACAATGCTCACAGCAGCACCATACACAATTTTGGAGATTCGAGTCCCGTTTCCTCGAGTTCTCTTTCCCTCTCATTCCATATGTTAAGAAGTCCGATTTAAGGAGCAGTTCCAATTACACCATGTTGTGTTAAACAAGGAAATCTTACACCTGAGATACACGTGAGGGGTAAAACTGCCTGTAAGATAATATTCATATTAGAACTTTGTTCTAGAATAATTAGAAGCACATCTGATATTTTTATTTTTCATTTTGAAGATCTAAAGTTCCCAAATTAAGAAAATAGGAAAAGATTTACCAGGTATATGTGGAGAATAAGCATATATTCCTTCGAAATACCATAGGGCTTCAGTTGCACAAGGGAAGTGGTCTGTGAGGAATCCACCATCATTCTCCCTGTCAAATATTGCTGTAAATCCCTATTCATCCCCAGGTAGAGGACCCAAGTTGAAAATTTCAACAGCAAGAAGATCACCAGGCTTGGCTGGATTACCATCAATGTCTAGAACTCTAATAGGTCCACTAAGATAATGCACCCTGAGAAGGTGTTTAGAGAGTTCATACTGCTATCAATTGATGACAATAGTAACACTACGCTTTGTTTAATGTCAAATAGTATATTCACACACCTTGATGCAGGGGAATAATCAGTGGTATATTGATCATGTTAATTGGCATGAAAAGTCTTTCTTCTCTTTTGGTGGATATAGTTCATTTTCTTTTTAATTTTTTGTTATTTTTTTATGTTTTCATCTGGAGAACCATATGAATATTAGAAAAATATCTTGGCTTACAGTGTATAAAACTAGATGAGTTTTACTTACTGTTGTGAAATGTCGAATTTGGGACTCGTTTGCACCTTTTTAAAAAAATTGGGACTATGATTGCAATTAGTTCTTTATTTTTTAAATTTAAATAAAATGGTATATTCATCATTTCACAACTTTTTATTGAGAAATTTGATGAAAATGGATAGAAATGATGGTTTGCGTAATCAAAAGTATCATTAAGAGTGAAAATACCAAAAAAATTAAAGATATATATGTTTTTCACAATAATAGTGACAGATAAAGATATTATGTGCTAGTTACCCTTTTAATAATTTATTTGGGACTCGATTGCACTTTTTAAAAAAAAATTGAGACTCTGGTTGCAATTAGTTCTTCATCTTTCTTTTTGTTTTATTTAAATAGAATGATATATTAGTCATTTCACATTTTTAATTGAAGATATAGATAAAAATGACATTTTGCGCAATGAAAGACGAAAATGCCAAAAAATGAAAAAAAAAAAAAAATTCACAATAATAGTGAAAGGTAAAGACGTTATGTGTTAATGACCCTTAATTTCTCTATCTTTCTTTTCATAGTCTAAAAATTTAACTTATACATTGGCTCTTAAAATTACACCAAATTGAATTCACAACACGGGAAAGATATAAATTTGGATAATGGACATGTCTTACAAAATCTCTTGGGAGTACACGATTTGTAGATAAAGTTTGGGTTTCATTATGTTCATTCCGCTGATGGAGATTTTGTTTGTGCATAGCTGATGGATTTGGGCACTCGAAATCTGCAAATTGTTACCTTTGTTAAAGTTTTATCATTGTCATATATGTGTGTGTATATTTACATTAATATATAAAGCACTTAACAAATAGAATATTTACACGATATATCCTGTAAATATTCAATTCATGTAAGCTATAATTTATGAAATTTAATTACCATTTATTGTGGTTTGCTAGTCGTCAAAGTGGCCAAACTTAGTGTTATGAATATTAAATTACACCTATCAATCATATATGATATGTTGATGCTCATAAATGATTAACATTATAATATATTATTGTTGTCGTGAAGATATTGATGTTCACACAAGCGCGCACGCAAGCACAGAGTACATACTTTCATTAATACTAGAAGTACTTTTTTCTCTTGCGACATTATATGTGCCAACATCCTTAGGTTGTTGGGTCATGTTGTTTTTCATGTGCTAGCTGCATGCTTGACGGTAATGCTGTTGCATTAGGATTTTTGGTGCTCGGCAACTTTCCATCATAGGTGCACTGTGGGATATCAGAGTTCCTTACAAGTCGAGGTCCAATAGGCATCTTGTTGGTTTTTGGGCGAATGTCCTGCACACACATAATTAATTCCTTTCAGCAATAATTGTGAAGCTTTGCTTAGAATTGACATACAAGTAATAAGTATTATGCAATAAAGTTGATTGCATGAATTACAAGGCTACGAAATCACATTCATTGCATGAGCTTTATTAGGAGTTGAGAAATTTATAAAATGGCTTTTTACATTATACACTCTTTGACGAATATCCTGCGCACACAAAATTAATTCCTGTTAACAAAATTGTCAAGCTTTTATTAGAATCCAACTTTAAGAGAACTATCATGATGTCTGTAACTAACGTACTTACAGTTTATGCATCTCAGTCTTGGAATTCTTGTACACCATAGTTCTTTTAGTTTTTAATCGGTAGCTATTCTTCTCTTTTTCGTAGAGACTGCATTCATAACATTTCTATAACATTGAGAGGACTTACAAAACCATGCTTGTTTATAGCCCATGCAATATTTCCAAGGATTATATGATTTATCAGTGTAGTTTTAGTGCTTGCTTATTTAAACGACTTCAGATCTGTCGTGCTTTTGTGGAGAAACCTTGTCTTGAAATTTTTTTTTTTGTGGTTATAATATCCTCAAGTTTATGTAACATGCACAACTCATACATCATTAGAATTAGAAAAGAATCTGCTTAACTACCAGTACCTGGTCAAAGATAGAAATTGGAATTGCAAGAGTGGCTACAGCATTGGGAGAATCAGTTATCCCTGAAATCCTTCCTTCACAGGGGCAGCATGAGAGTAGAAGATAGACCTAATAGCCACCATTATATCACTTTGGTTGTTGCAACATTTTGTAAGTTGTAGGATGATTTTTATGGACAGATTTCATACCTGTTCTTTAGTGTATCCAAATCTAGACAAGTAGTCGATAGCATTAAGCACTGCACGCTTGTAAGCAACGCTAGCATCAAGGAAGTGTTGTCGCCCGCTCTCATCGACGCTAATGCCCTCAAATACTAACCATTCTGAGAATCTTGGCTCAACAGGGCCTGTCTCGAAAATTGGGTTGACATGTAGAGGAGTCGGCCCCATTGGAGTGAGGTATTCTTTCATCCCATCCCTAATGATTTCGCACCTGATAGGTATTGAAATAATGGTGGATAAGTTCTCAACAGATAAAGGAAGGTTAGTTCTAAGAATTTAGAAAAAGCAAAGCCAATTTTATAATATGCCAGCACTTTGTGCCTTTTTAAGCAAATTCCTCTTTAAAGAGGAATGATATGAATCTGCAACATGATAACATATTTTATAAATTTGAACTATATATAAAAAGACATTCGTTATTCTGTACATATCTTTTCAAGTGCCTGGAAGGGTTGAGTAGGTTCTCATAGCATCAGCGTGATCTTTGATCCATTGCCTCTGGGCTGGAGTCATCACACTGTGTATACTATGCATTAATTTCTAGCATTGAATTATCTTAATCTCTTACTGTTACTTTCCATGTCATACGACCAAGAATGAAATGCGAGATATATTTGAAAATAATAAAGGAACTATATAATTTTTAATTCTAGGAGAAACAAAGGAAATAGTAAAAGAAGTTTGGCGATACATTCAAAATGTTACTTGAGTTCTAGAAAACCACTCATCTCGATTGCTCCACAAAACGAAACTTCACCATCTCCTTGTGAAAAATGCATATCCCCAGTACTAAGGTTAGCTCCTTCTATGAAGACTGGAAGGTATACTTTGGAACCTATACTGAGATTTTTGATGTCACAATTTCCTCCATTCTCTCTTCCAGGAACTGTCCTTGCAGCCTCCTGCGCAATTCTTTCCCAATCAGGAGTTCCTTCCTCAATCTGCATGATCATGAACTATTAGAATTGTGCCTTCGCTACTAGAGCGTTAAAAGAGCATTTTTACTGTGATTGTCAGTCAAAACTTTTTAGTTACTTAATTTGCCAAACATGATTTCAAAGTTACTTTTTTGTGTATTTAGATGTGCCATGAAATTTTATTCTTACTGAATGGTAAGACTCCAATCCCTTTATTGATAATATGTTTGCCATTGAAACGATGATTTTTTTTTTCCTAGTTGACATACCTTGCCAAGGAGGCATCCCTTTGTTATTGGCAGGTTTGCTAGTGGCCGTGAATGCAGCACCTCGCACAATTTCAGATATTGAGGTCCAGTTTCTTCAAGTTCTCTTTCCCTCTTATTCCATATATTAAGTAGTTCCACTGAAGGTGCAGTTCCGATTATTCCAGGGTGCGTTAGACCTGGAAATCTTACACCTGCAAAACACATGGGGATAAAACTTCATGTTAGACGACTGTGTTAAATAATTAGATAAAGTTCATATTAAAAGTTGGTCTGTAATTAGATTGGTGATATCTGTTGTTTCCATTCTGAAGATGCAAAGTTCACAAAAGAGGGAAAATAGGAAAATATTTACCAGGTATATGTGGAGAGTAAGCATATATTCCTTCAAAATACCATATGGCTTTGGTAGCATGAGGGAAATGATCAGTGAGGAATCCACCACCATTCTCCCTGTCAAATATTGCAGTAAATCCCCATTCATCTCCAGGTAGAGGACCCAAATTGCAAATGTCAACAGCAAGAAGATCACCAGGCTTTGCTGGTTTCCCATCTATATCAACAACTCTAATAGGCCCACTAAGATAATGCACCTGAGGCAATGTTTAGATAGGTCACATACTAGTTTTAATTGCCGAGGCCAGTAATTATGCAAACTAGGATGTAACGATCAGTTACTACAGGTAAAGCAATGTCAAATAGTATATTCACACACCTTATATGAAGGGGAATAAGCAGTTGAATCTTGATCATGATAATTGGCATGAAAATGTTTCCTTTTCTTTGCTTCTTGATGTCTTTTGTTTTTTATTGTCCATCTGCTTCATTTTTTATTTGAAGCTTTGAAAATTACCTTGGCATATAACTAGATGAGTTTTTCTTACTGTTGATAGATCTAACACTTTTACATTAATTGCAGTATTGTCATCTTTAACGGCATCTCCAGTCTAGTCGATCATTTCTATTCCAAATATCTCACTAGGTTTGACCTCTGCCACTAGCATTATCGTGAGGTGCCACTGATTATGAAGAGATATGTCCTATTGCCATGGCTAATTGCTTCTTCTTTATATCTATAGGAACTATTAATCTTGGAGATAGAGGGGCATTGGATATATTGGTCTGTCTTTGCATGAAAGCTTTTGTTTTATTTTAGACAATTCTAGTGAGAACAAGCTTTTCCAATGGTCCTTGGCTGCCTTTCTTGACTACTGACAAATGAGTAATGACATTATAAGCTAGTATCTTTCAGTTTTCAGAACAAATGATAATATAGGGACCTTTACCCCTTCTTATTTCTAATTATCCCCACCATATTTTTACCTAGTCCCTTGCTACCGCTGCCCCCCTCCACGTCCCCACATGCTACCCCTGAGCATATTGAGGTGAAAAAAGGACTTTTTAAACAAAATTTTTTTGTAATCGTTCTCTTTTCCATTTTAAATAGTGAAAAGGGGCCTTCAGGAAAATTTTTGGTTTATACACACTTCTAATCTTCTGCGGCAAGGAACTGTATTGTACAAAGATCAAGCATTGTGGTAGAGTTTTTTATGTTAGAATTCCACACAGAGCCTTAATTACACATTTATGAAATCAAGGTACTCAACCCGATCTAGCTTAAGAGAATATTTCAAGTAATCAACAAACTGAAAATGTGCAAAGAAATTAAGAAAATAAAAGTAGCTTGGAGAGCAAAAATGTGAGAAACTCACAGAAGAAGAGTCTGCGTGCTTGACATCTTCAGCAGTGTACTCTTTTTTTATGGCACCTCCAGTGGAATCCACCATCTCCACCCTGAATATCTCTCCAGTTTTGACCTCTACTACCGGAGGTATGTCAGGGTGCCATCGGTTGTGCAACGGAAGTTCCTGCTCCCGTGGCTTCTTTTTTATGTCAATCGGCACCACCAGTCTATAACCACGCCCGGCCTCCATTGTTTGCAAACTTCAGTTTTGCTCCACCAAAAGAACGGATCGATAAATACTTTATTGAATTCAGGATTCCCCGACTTATGCAGCTTTCGTTTTCAGATGAAAATTTTGATAGCCATGATTGGCACCTCAAGTCCATATTCTTATAGCATGTTGTAACAAAAATGCCTCTCAATTTTGTAGGTTGTCCTGTATTATCAATGCAAGCAGTACAGAGTGTATCTTTTAAGCATTTTAAGTAACAAAGTAGGAGCTTTTGCAATTTACGTGACCATGAAACAAAATAGTACGCGATAGCCAAAAGCAGCATTTCTTACCAGAAATCATATACATTGACAGCAATAATTGTATTTCAGACAAACACGCCAACTATACCATTTTGCCAAAAGGCCAGAGAGAAATGCGTGCAAGAGTGCAAGTGCATATCTTCGAATTAAACGGTGAAAAGATAAACATTAATGTTATTGAAACTTTGGAAGATAAAATAATAAATCTATATAGGCATTTGTATCTCTATATCTATATCTATAATTTGAACGTGAGAAAAAAAAAAAACTGTCAAGAATTGGGTCGTAAAATGTCAACCTTATTAAGAGGGGTAGCTCAAACTCTTATAAATTGGTCTATATTTTCATCTTTATTCGATATTGGATTTTATTTACATCTTAAAAGTTCAACCTTATTAAGATGAGTAGTCTAAACTCTTATAAATTGGTCTGTGTTTTCATCTTTATTCGATATGAGATTTTATCCCTTAACAAAGACTCATATTTTATTACATTATTACAGAATCGTGAAACAAAATAGTACGTGAAATGAAAGAAAAAAAAAAAAAAAAAGAAGAAGGCAATTCTTACTAGAAATTATGTAAATTGAAAGCTATAATTGTATCCAACACAAATATACCGACAATAAATTTTTTGCCAAAAGCCATAGAAAAATGCGTGCAAGTGGTTCACATGTTATAAGAAATAGACTCGTGTATTGAATTATAACGTCTATCGTATCTTTGACTTAAACGGTGATAATATAAAAATTAATTTTATTAGAACATTGGTAATGAAATAATGACATAAAAATAAGTAACATTAATTGGGGGCAACTTTATTTCAACTTTGCCAATGGAATGGAGTTAAAAACTGTACTCTCCATCCAACTCTAGAAACATGTGATGTGCATCTCTTTATATCCTAAATTGAACATGAGAAAAAACGCTCCTATTTTGTTAAACGAAATATTGCGCAATAGACACAAAAGGGAATTCATATTGGACATTATATGCATCGACAACGATAATTGTATCCTAGACAAAAGACCAACTATAAAATTTTGTCGAAAGCCATGGAGAAAGGCATGCCAGTGAAATGTAAGTGGTTTACATCTTATACATATAGGAAATTGACTATAAACTCATAACTTTTATCGTATCTTCAACTTAAACAGCTATAAGATAAAAATTACTGTTACTAAAACATTGGTAGATAATCAACTTTGCTGATGGAACGGAGTTAAAAGCCGTACTCTTAATCTAACTCTATATACATAGGCATATGTGCATCTCTATGTATCTAGAAATTCGACATGAAAAAAAAAACACTTCTTATTGGAAATTATACATTTACAACAATAATTGTATCCAAAACAAATACACCAACTATAAAATTTTGCCAAAAGCAGTAGAGAAATATGTGCACATGTAACTGGTTCACATGTTATACATAATACATATAAAACATTGACTCGTGTATAAAACTATGACTTCTATCGTAACTTCGACAAAAAAAATTATACGTAGAAAAAAATTCATAACTTTTTTTACCGTAGAAAACTAAATGGGCTTGGGGCAGGCCACCACCCTCCCTCACCCTTGGGCCTTGGTACTGAATTAGACTTTCTGAATGAAAATGTGTTCGTATTTAGTGACAGTAAAAATGCATTGATGTCAAATAAAAACCATGTCTATCAAGAATGTTCGAAATATAGAAGTTAGACACCATTTCCTTAGAGAAGAGCTTGCTTCACGTGAAGTGTCTTTGGTAAATATAACAATTGATGATAACCCTGAATATGTAGGGATTAAAGTACTCGCTGCTTAATTTAACTAGTATTTGCCAATTCTGAAGATTGATAATGGTTAAATTGTTTGTAGGTACTTAGCTTGGAGAGAGAAATAACGAGTAAAAAAGTTCATCAGAAAATGAGCACCATAGAAGCGAGCAATAGATTAGTGATCGAATTTGAAGAGTTCTGAAAGCGTGTCACGCTAATTGTTATGCCTCATGAAGAGGCCCCAAATCATTTGCCAACATGATACGTGTCATATATACACGCCGTCAATCGACCAAGGCGTCGAGGAGACACGTGTAGAAGTAAGACACGACGAAGTGGTATGAGAGGAATTAATTAGGAGATCTTTTACACAAAGTTCTTTCCAAAATAAAATCTTTCTGTGATTAAATGATATGATGTTCAAACAGTAAACACCAAAAGGTCAAGTTGCATTAAATGTCCGACCACTTATGATTTATAGATTTATACCTAGGAGGAGATAGAAGACGCATCTCTCTCCAAATGAGGCCACATGTCTTCTCATCCTCTAGTCAACATTCCACGACCTCTACTATATAAACCCATGAAACTAACCATTCAAGGGAAATGTAACTCCATTCTCTCTATATACTCCTTGCACTGTACGTTTTCATCTTGCAATCTATTTTATACAATCCTTCTTCCGTCAACGTCATCTGACTTGATTGTCGAAGTGCTCGTAGCCACATATACCACCACCGAAAAATATCACGAGTGATTAATAATTGTGTAGGAAGGAGCTTACGTGGAGTTGCAACTGTTGGCCGCGTTGGAGCTGTAGATTTCAAGGTCAACACTAATTGCATCTATTTCACATGTCATGAGTTGAGTGCACTTCACACAAGATGTTGAATGTTGAGAAGATCATACGATTGTATTTCTTTGAATTGATCTCAACCATTGATTTAAAATGAATGTCTGAGTTCAGTTGGATAGGTTAAGATTGTGGGTATTTATGATCATCCCTCATTTAGGGTCATCTAACGGAATTTTTAAAAAGTTTAAAGTTGTTTATAAGGTTAAGAACATTTTTTTTGAACATATTTGGATAATTAAACCGACTTTCTCAAAAATTTCTTTTAGAAAAAGTAAAAGCAAATGACAGATCAAAGTAGAAGCAAATGATAGATCAAGATATTATTTTCTTATTCTTTTTGGTCAAATATTTACGATTGATCAGATATTGTACATTGTTCAAATGGACACAACAACCACTTCATTGTAAAATTTGTGTTAAGCCATAGTATGACGTCCAAAAATGCAAAATACACAAAATGTACCATTTTAAAATGCTAAGATTGATGCTACCAAATGGCCCATATCTTGTCATTTTTCACATATAAGGAACGAACATGACGTTGAATTTCATGTAAGTGACACGGAAAAAATTCATAAAACATTAGACTATGACATAATCAAGGTGCATGAATTTAGTTCATAACACAACATAGTTTTTTATATAAAATGTGCTGATTCAATTTATTTTCTTAATAATTATTATAATGTTTGTGAACTACACAGTTTAGTTTGTCATAGTCAGGAACTCTATTTTGTACGTTTTTAGAATCTTATTTTTATTATAATCCCAACTTCACCACCACCGAAAAGGGCCACGAATAACTTATGGTTGTATTTAGTTATGTAGTGTAGGAAGGAGTTTATGTGGAGTTGCAACTGTTGGCCACGTTGGAGGTGCAGATTTCGAGGTCAACACTAATTACGTCTATTCCGCATGTGATGAGTTGAGTGCACTTGACACAAGATGATTGAATGTTGAGAAGATCTTACGATTGTATTTCTTTGAATTGATCTCAACCATTGATTTAAAATGAATGTTTGAGATTCAGCCGAGTAGGTTAAGATTGGGGTTATTTATACTTGTGAGGTTTCAGATGTTTTGTAATTGGTGATTCTGTAAACAAAAATGACTGAATTGTACTATATTTAAAAAGTCAAGGAGAAATGTGCAAATAGTTAAAAATAAGGTTATTAGGTCTAGGGTTCGAGAATGGCAAAAGAGGAAAACGGAGCGGATTTTCGCTAGACTGTCGTCAAGATTTGACTCGAGCTACAAAAGCAGAAACATCGTCGCTGGACTATCGCCCCCTACTTCGCTCGAGCGACAGTCTCTCGCTCGACTATCGCTGAGCCCTCGCTTGAGTAACAGGTTTATCAAAGAAATTTTTATTTCGCGATTTAAAGGTTTTTTCCCAGACATATTCGTTTTTCTAACCTACCTATTTATACCAAAACACTTTTGTACGAAAATTTGTAAGGTGGAAAATTGAAAGAGCTTCATCTGTGAGAGATTCATTCGATTCTATCTTTTCACCTGCTTTGATTATTTTTGTAAGAAAAACATCGTTCCTATAATCTAAATACCAAACTGTTTGTCTTTCCTCTACATCTGGTCAGAGTTCTGAAGATCGAGGGAAGTTAACTAGAGTTACAGTTTGTGAAGAACAAGGTATTTTTCGTTGATCCACGAGAAATAGACGATTCTGCTAGGCTAGGAGTGCTGCAGGGTAACAAATTCCTCGGAGAGCTTTGACAACAACAGCTGAGAATTGGTGTAGGGGAGCACAGGATCCAGGGAGAGCTGTAGGGAGTGCAGTCGAGTGATCAGATAGTACGGGTCGTCTAGTCTGATAAACTGTAAGTTGTTCAAATCATTTATAATGGATTGTTGACCGACGAAGTGCCCGTAATTTTTCCCAATTAGGTTTCTCCGTGATCATACTGTATGTTGATTTACTGCTTTATTCATTATTTATATAATTTGCAATATTCAAACATAGAATTAAACTGACGTGATTATTTAACCATCTAGAGATAACAGTTGGTGACTTGTTGCTAATTTGTTATAATATTTTTAATTCCGTATAATATACATATTCAACCCTATCTAGATATTG